GGTTCCCCCCTGGCTCGGGAAGGGGCGGTGGGTCAGGGAGGCCCAGCTCTGTTTGCAGTGGGGTGCGCGGCGGGCAGCTGCCCTCCCAAGGGCGCGGTGGCAGGGCCGCGGGGGCAGGGTATTACCTGAGTCCGGGGGGAGGGTGTCGCTTCCCCAGGGTGCAAACGTGGAGCTGCTGGTGACTCGGGCAGAAGCGAAAGTGAAAGTTCGTGTCCAGGGCAGCGCCCGGGCTGGGCTGGGTGTCACTGCCGCTCCCGACCGCAGGGGAGAGCGACCCCCGGCTCCGGGGGACCCACCCGAACGGAACCGCAGCTTCCTCGGAGCCCCCAGCCCGCCCCACGCCAGGCCCACTGGGCCCCTCCTCAGCCCCCAGCTGCTCCCAGCCCCACAGGGCCTGCCCAGAGCCTCGTATGGCTCCCAGCCCCCGAATGTTAGTGTCAGTATGTGAGCGGTGTGTCCGTGTGTGCACAGACGTGTGTGTTAGTGCCATTGTGTGTGCGGTGTGTCCGTGTGTGCACAGACGTGTGTGTTAGTGCCATTGTGTGTGCGGTGTGTCCGTGTGTGCACAGACGTGTGTGTTAGTGCCATTGTGTGTGCGGTGTGTCCGTGTGTGCACAGACGTGTGTGTTAGTGCCATTGTGTGTGCGGTGTGTCCGTGTGTGCACAGACGTGTGTGTTAGTGCCATTGTGTGTGCGGTGTGTCCGTGTGTGCACAGACGTGTGTGTTAGTGCCATTGTGTGTGCGGTGTGTCCGTGTGTGCACAGACGTGTGTGTTAGTGCCATTGTGTGTGCGGTGTGTCCGTGTGTGCACAGACGTGTGTGTTAGTGCCATTGTGTGTGCGGTGTGTCCGTGTGTGCACAGACGTGTGTGTTAGTGCCATTGTGTGTGCGGTGTGTCCGTGTGTGCACAGACGTGTGTGTTAGTGCCATTGTGTGTGCGGTGTGTCCGTGTGTGCACAGACGTGTGTGTTAGTGCCATTGTGTGTGCGGTGTGTCCGTGTGTGCACAGACGTGTGTGTTAGTGCCATTGTGTGTGCGGTGTGTCCGTGTGTGCACAGACGTGTGTGTTAGTGCCATTGTGTGTGCGGTGTGTCCGTGTGTGCACAGACGTGTGTGTTAGTGCCATTGTGTGTGCGGTGTGTCCGTGTGTGCACAGACGTGTGTGTTAGTGCCATTGTGTGTGCGGTGTGTCCGTGTGTGCACAGACGTGTGTGTTAGTGCCATTGTGTGTGCGGTGTGTCCGTGTGTGCACAGACGTGTGTGTTAGTGCCATTGTGTGTGCGGTGTGTCCGTGTGTGCACAGACGTGTGTGTTAGTGCCATTGTGTGTGCGGTGTGTCCGTGTGTGCACAGACGTGTGTGTTAGTGCCATTGTGTGTGCGGTGTGTCCGTGTGTGCACAGACGTGTGTGTTAGTGCCATTGTGTGTGCGGTGTGTCCGTGTGTGCACAGACGTGTGTGTTAGTGCCATTGTGTGTGCGGTGTGTCCGTGTGTGCACAGACGTGTGTGTTAGTGCCATTGTGTGTGCGGTGTGTCCGTGTGTGCACAGACGTGTGTGTTAGTGCCATTGTGTGTGCGGTGTGTCCGTGTGTGCACAGACGTGTGTGTTAGTGTAAGTGTGTGTGCGGTGTGTCCGTGTCTGTTAGTGTAAGTGTGTGTGCGGTGTGTCCGTGTCTGTTAGTGTTAGTGTGTGTGCGGTGTGTCCGTGTGCGCACAGACGCATGTGTTTGTGTAAGTGTGTGTGCGGTGTGTCCATGTGCGCAGACCTGTGTGTTAGTGTAAGTGTGTGTGCGGTGTGTCCGTGTGTGCACAGACGTGTGTGTTAGTGCCATTGTGTGTGCGGTGTGTCCGTGTGTGCAGATGTGTGTGTTAGTGTCAGTGTGTGTGGTGTGTCTGCACACAGACATGTGTGTAAGTGTCAGTGTGTGTGCAGTAAGTGTGTCTGTGTGTACTCAGATGTGTGTGTGCGGTGTGTCCACGTGCACACAGATGTGTGTTTTAAGTGTCAGTATGTGGGTAGTTAGTGTGTCCGTATTTGCTCAGACTTGTGTTAGTCTCCTTGTGTGTGCACGGTTAGTGTGTCCTTGTGTGCACAGATATGTATGCGTTAATGTCAGTGTGTGTGTGTGTCAGTGTGCATGTGTGCAATTAGTGTGTCCGTGAGTGTGTTAGCGTCTGTGTGGTTGTTGGTTGTTTGGTCTTTGGGCAGGTGTGTCTCCTTGGTCACACTGGGGCTCTGAGCACTCTCTTTGTGGTTGTGTGGCTGGGGAGTGTGTCACTGTCTCCTCAGAAGTGCGTGAGGGTGGGTGCCACAGTCCCTGTGTCCTTTTGCATGTGCATGCGTGTTTCTCTATGGGCTACAGTTGTGTAGTGTGCCCGTGTCTCTGGTGCAGGGTGTGTGCCTTTGCACAACAAGAGGCACAGTGGCTCAGTGTCACCCCATGGCCTCCAAGCCCCCAGGGCAGTACCCCGCATGGCTGCTCCTAGCGGGGAGCTGCGAGCAGCTGGCCTGGCCTGCAGGTGCACTCTTGGGCTTGGCGAAGAACTGGGGGAAGGATTTGAGTGCGAGAGCTTCACACGGCCCATGCAGGAGAGATGTGGGGCCAGACTGAGCACCATGAGAGGCGGGAGGAAGCATATATTTAATAGCAGGTGCTGGCATCGGCCCAGTAGTAACTCAGCCAAGGGGGTGAGAGAGCCAGGCCACATGGTGTCTGACAGCGCCTGAAACGCATCCCCTGGGGCGCAGCCAAGATGCGCTGTCCCCACCAGCTTGGCTGGGGTAAGACTTGGGGGCAGGTCTGCAGCCCAGTGCTGCTGGTGATTGGCCAGGGCAGGATGCAGATGGGCTAGAGCCAGGACTGGGGGGACAGGATCCACTCACTCTGTCCCTTTGCCCCCTGTTCCTTGGGGCCCCGGACGAGACCCTGTGGAGCTGAAGGTCTGTGTGACAGGGGATCCCCTCCTACCTCTGGCTACCAGTCTAGGGCTGACCTGCCCTCAAATTCACTCCCTTTCCACCAACTCCAGACCTCCTCCCAGCCATATCACTGATCTCAACCCATCGCCAGCTCCTGCCCTTAACACAAGCCTCCCCCTGGCCCTGTCATAGCCCCAAACCTCCCCCCGGCTCCCTGAGAACCCCAAACCTGTCTCTGGTCCCATCAGAACTCCAAACCTCCCCCTGGCCCTATCATAGCCCCAAACCTCCCCTCCCCAGCCCCATCACAGCCCCAAAGCTCCCCCCCGCCCCCT